ACATGCTGCTGATCTCATGCTGCTGATTATCAGTGCTGCTGATTATCACATACTGCTTATTATACATGCTGCTGATTATCAGTGCTGCTGCTGATCTCATGCTGCTTATTATACATGCTGCTGATCTCATGCCGCTTATTATACATGCTGCTGATCTCATGCTTCTGTATTTATTCACACCCATCTGCTCACCATGGACTCATGTTCGGGCTGTTGTTACGCCGTATTGTTTTACATTATTAGTGTTTAGTTTATATCTTAGATTCTTATTTACCGTTTCTTTTTACACTTTATATTTTTGCTATTTTTGGAATGTAACTGGGACCCTGAGTACATAATTTTGTTCCACCTCATGTACCACATGTGATGAAAAGACAACAAAATTGACTTGAACCTAATCTCAGAATTAGGTGAAAAAAAATTATTGCACCGTGGTCTTAATCCTCTTCCATAAAAATCTGCTCTTTTTCTCATAATTTTGATTAATTTGCTGATGTCCATCAGTCAGATTAAACAAATTGAACAAACATTTAGGAACTGGCGTCAAAGACTGCAGCACTTCTGCATTGAGCCTAGTTTAAACTCTTAATAAAACCAAAAGCCTCACACTCTATTAATATTTTTAAATTGTCTCAAACCAGTCATTCAACCTTTATTTAGACAGGTAATCCCATTGAGCCTCGAGGACTCTTTTACAAGAGAGACCTGATAAAACCAGGCTTTTAATTTGTCAGGAAGCGTCACCTTGGCCTTCACTCATCACATGAACGATGTCATTTAAAAAACAAACACGGCCACGAAATAAAAAGTATTTAAACTGTTTCTCACCTTCCACTACCGATGGAGGGGAAGGCCACAGACTTGAGCTTCTTCTCGTCCGCCAGGGCCAGACAGTTCTTCACCGTCTTCTCCAGCATCTCCTCACACTTATCAGAACCCCAGCCTGGACTGTTGCAGTGGATCACGTACTTGGCAGGCAGACCAAAACCACCAGTCAAAACAGCTGAGGGAAGAAGAAGAAGAAATAATAAGGGTTCGGCACAGTTAGTGCGGAGAAAAGCCGAAAAAACTGGAGTTTTATTCTCACAGGATCCCAAATTTATAAAACGATCAAACGTTACATTTTATTTAAAGTAGAAAAAGTGCCTTTTCACAAAACGCAGCATGAACGCAGAGCTAAATGACTTCACTGAAGAAGCTAAAAACAGGTTGTTAAAAAAAGCTAAAAAGGCAAAAATAGCAAAATACTAGTAAACAGTAACAAACACCATAGTTAAAAACTAAAGTAATTAAATGTTAGTTAAAAGCAGCAAAAGCTAAGAGTATTAAAATGTATAGCTAAAAATTAAAAAAGCTAGCTAAAAGTAGCTAAATAGTAGCTAAAAGTAGCACAAGAAGACATAAAAAAGCAAGTTTGTTGAAAATGATTTCCTAGAGAACAATGTTTTTAAAGTATTGGAAAAGAGCTGTTGAATATATTTGTCTCCTAAATGAGCTGAACATTTTGATACAGCAACGTTTTAAAGTAGCACAAAATAAGCAGAAGTAGTTTGATTGTAGGAAATGTTCAGAAAAATGAGAAGCAGGGAAACGACCGTGTGACGGACGGATCAGCATTTAAACGACTCAACTACTGAACTTCATGGAACCGTTGGTTTCATGTCGGGACAAACAAACAAACAAAAAGAGAAGCATGCGTCAACGCTAATGCTTCAAAATATCAGAAACAGGAAACGTTTGGACATTTTTTACTTAAATACCGTGATTGAACTATTGAACTGTTCAGTCAACTACAACACCTAAACATTTTAGATGTCATCATCAGAAGACTGAGCTGAACACCGCACCTCAGACTGAAGAAGTCTTTCGGATGAAACACGAAACATTTCTACTTTTTTGTTTTGTTTTTTGAATGTCCCGAGGACCAGACTTAACTTTTTTTTAGATATTTCAGCTACTATTTAGCTGCTTTTACGCTAATTTTAGTTTTATCGGATAATTTCACTTTTGTTGCACTCGTTTAAACTTTTTTTCAGCCTAATTCAGCAAAAAGGTGCTTTCTCCACTTCCTTCTGGTAATTTAAGCTTCTTCGTGCCTTTTCGGCTAATTTTATGTTGGTTTTATGCTAATTTCAGCTTTTTTTCCAGGTAATTTCCACGTTTTTGTGCTCATTTCTGCTTCTTTCAACCTAATTGGGCAAACATGTTGTTTCTGCTTTCTTATGCTAATTTAGCTTGTTCTACCTTTTCAGCTAGCTTCTCAGAATCAGAATCAGAGCACATTCGGAGCACATTTTAGCTCATTTTAGCTGTTTTCAGTAAAATTCAAGTTTTTCGTGGTAATTTCTGCTACTTCCAGCTTAAATTATTTCTGCTAATTTCAACATGCTATGCTCCTTTCATCTTATTTCTGCTATTTTCAGTTATTTCAGCTAACTATTTAGCTGTTTTTCTGATAGCATTAGCTTTTTCAGCAAATTCCACATTTTTTGCACTCATTTCAACTTTTGTGTTCTTTCTGATTTCTCCTGCTGATTTATGCTTGCTCTACATTTTCAGCTAGGTTTTTCAGCATGTTTTTTTTAATAGCTAATTTCAGCTGTTTTTCAGCAAGTTCTTCTGCAATAAGCATTCACACTGCATTTTCGCAGGAAATGCAATTTCTCTAGTTTTATTTAGTTCACTACAGGCGTGCAGCTGGAGCCCATCACTTCACTTCATCACTTTAAATCTGCCTCCGTTCTGTAAGAAGTCTAAAGCCAAAAGTTGAGCTCGGAGCCAGAGGTGCTAAACGAGCACTTTTCTTTGTGGAAAGAATAAGAAGAAAATCTTGAGCGGCTTAAACTAGTTCAACCAAAACGTTACAGAGAAGGATGGAGGGCAAAGGAAAATCCCCTCTCCGGGGAGCTGTGGAACGAGGGAGTGGAGTCTGCTCTCTGGAGTTCTACGTCGAGTTAAGTCCTCCATCGATCCAGCAGCTGTGAAAAGTGTAACTCAGACCAAACCCCCCAGAGTCTGCGGTGGAAGAAAGACTCCAGTCAGAGTTCGTTAGCCCTCAGAAAACATGTGACTGGACTTCAGGCGAAGCCGAGCTTATTTCCAGATGGAGCTCAAAACGATGGCGGCACTTCACAGCAGAGGAAGAACTGCTGTAAGTGTGATCCTGATGATGACGATGATGAGTTTCGTGACCTGCTTCACGGTTTGGTTGGACGCCAGAGAGCGCGGCGGTATCAACATCAGCTAATCAGATGCCAGTCAAACAGTTTGAGGCTCGTTTTTATTTAGTTCTTTAGAGAAAATAAAAGTGATTTTTGTCGTAAACACGAAGCAAATGTTTTACCACAAAAAGCAGCATTTACATTATTTATTTCATTTACTAAATCGGAACGTTTCTTTTTCAAAAACAGATGGAGAACGTTTTAGAAATCCTCCCCCAACATCTGTCCTCAGCAGATATTAAATTACATAAACTTCAAACATACAGAGCTTCAGTATTATTATTGATAATCTGATTATTGAACATAATTGCCAATTTTTCAGACCATTATAATTAAACTTAATTTTCTTTTGGAAGAATCTAGAATCAAGCTTTTTGGTTCATTTTGTTAAATAATTAGCATTAAAACTAAAATATTCCACTATTCAGCCATTTAATTGTTTTAAGTCCTCAGAAACTTTAGTAGGGTCATAGTGCATGTGCTAATACTTTAATAAAAATAAATAAATAAGTAAACACACACACTTGCCTGTCAAAGGCTACATTAGAACAAAACATTCATACCATCAGAATAGTATAGAATCACAGATTGAAGAAAAACTGATTTTATTTTTAGTATTTTTAAAACAAACCACAAACAGACTCTTTCATCTGAAACCTGACAGAGAAATCAGCGACGAGAAAACGGGACGTCCCAACAAAAAGACGCCGCCGTCGAGCCGACCTTCATGGCAGAAGCAGCTCCTCGTCAGAAACATGAACTTTCTGTTTGTAACTGCAGCCAACAAGTTGAACGTTTTCACTACAATCACCTGCAGCACATGAAAGCAGCAACACCTCATCAACACCACCCCTACAGTCAGACATGGTGACGGAGCCGAGGCTGGGAGACCCATCAGGGACAACAACAAAAAACCATGGAGGGTGGGCTGACTTCAGCAAGTGAACACAAGGGTGGCTGTGAGAAAACTGTAAAGGACCTGAAGTGACCCAGTCAGGCCTAAAGCGAGTGACGCTCTGCGTACAACCTGCTTCTTCTTAAACTTCAGAAGCTGCGCCACGTTTGTAGGATCGTTCTCAGGAGGACTTTGCTGCCAGAAGTACCGAAGGTACCAAACGAGTGGTCGCCTTGTGTTACTGCGAAGAACTCATCCAGACTAATACAACAAATTTCAGTCAGGTCATCTGGACGGTTTCGTTTTTTTTTTTTTTTTAGGCATTCCGTCCTTCATCCAAAGGACTTCATGAGTCCAAGGAGCCACAACAAACTGAGTCCCACAAACAGCAAACTCACCTAGTGGACCAACCAGTTTAATGGAGATAAGATGGCTTCTGGGGCCCGCCCTCTCCCTCGTCGACTCCTCTGAGGCAGCCATAGCCAAAGTGGTTCAGAACATCAAGGTTCATGCTCAATAATCCAGGTAGAAAATCCAACAAAGTTCAGTCAGGTTATCCGGACGGTATCTTTTTTGTTGTTGTTGTTGAAACGTTTCGTCCTTCATCCAAAGGACTTGATGTTTTGGGGAAAAAAAAAACTACAAAGCTCTCAACAACCTAGCTCCATCTTGTATTACAGATCTTATTGTTCCATATTTTCCTAACAGAGCACTTCACCCTAAGACTGCAGGTTTACTCACGGTTCCTAGAGTTTCCAAAAACGGAATGGGAGGAAGATCTTCCAGTTATCAGGCTCCTCTCCTGTGGAACCAACTTCCAGTTTCTGTCCATGAGGCTGACACATTGTCCAGTTTTAAGAATGGGCTTAAGACTTTCCTTTTTGATAAATCCTAATTAGGGTTGGCTTGGGTTTCCTTAGTTATACTGCTATAGGCTTAGACTGCTGGAGGACAAACTGTGCACATATTTTCACTATACTACCGTCTTTACTTACTCTGCTCAACCTGTTTTGTATTTGTAATTTTTTTTCTATACTTGACGTGTTTTTTTCTTTCAGGTACACCTGCACCTACACCTGCACCTACATCTGCACCTACACCTGCACCTGCCATTCTGTGTTCGTCTGTCTCTCCTTCCTGTCCTCTAAAACCAGCCGGTAAAAGCAGATGGCCTCTTGTTCTGAGCCTGGTTCTGCTGGAGGTTTCTTCCTGTTAAAAGGGAGTTTTTCCTTTCCACTGTTGCCACTGTGCTTGCTCAGGATGGGAGACTGTGACGAAGTGAAATTCAACGTGTCTGCTGTTTCCTTGGATAGAGAACTTTACTAACTGGCTTTTCTATGCATGTGATGTTCCTGTAAAGTGCCCTGAGACAACTTTGTTGTGATATGGCGCTATATAAATAAACTGAATTGAATTGAATGTTTAACAACCTGTTAAAATACACCAAAATGCAGGAAATCGCATCTACTTTATTCAAAAGTTTCTGGGGGAGGACCCCCCCCACCCGCCCCCAGCTCCTCCACCACTATTTGCATTCCAGCATTGAATTGATCAGTTTACAAATTAAGCCCTGGATGCACCCCCACCACCACTTTTTTAAAGTACAAGTACTTTTTGAGTAATGGCAAATGCAAAGTACTACAGTAATACAATTATTCATAAATGCCACTCTTCCAATTACTTTGAAAATGTGTGTGAAAACCAGAGGAGCCTTTAATAATAACAGACAGACTTTTCCAAAAGCGATATTCCCAAGATCCTCCACTGCTTAATGAGAGACTGTAGCCATTTCCCGCTGTCGTTAAACTCTGAACTCTGCGTCTTGTTGGTTTATTTTAGATGTCGTAATAAATTGCTCAAGTTCTATAACTGGTTCCTCTTCTCGGCTTTTCTGGCATCATTTACAGTCTGTTCAACATTTGTCATTTTGAATCCAGATTCACAGCATCCCAGAAAGGCTGGATTCAGTCACCTGAGATCTATGACGGGGTAAAAACAAAAAAACTGATGGAGCCGCCCACATCCTGCACAGATGTGAGTTTTCAGGAATGTAGCGACCGGAGCAGAACTTAGCTGTGTTGACGTGAAGCGTAACGCATCAAATGTGTGACGGACGTCTCCCTTGCATTTTCAAAGCACGACAAATTAACTCAGCTTAGATAATCTCTGTGATTACATTTAAACCTAACGTGAAGTCATCACTGACCTTCTCTCTGCTGTAATAAATCTGTTTGATGTTGTTTAATTAAGCAGCTCGGTGATGTCATCCCTTCATCACATTACTGAGCCGCTGCGCCGGCTTACCTTTCCACAGGTCGACCATTTTGGCTCTTTTACACTTTCGCTTTGCGACACCAAATGTGCATCATGGGCGGGTTGGCTTCCCACCCTCTGCCTTGGTACTTTCAAAAATCAGCCAGCGAGCCTGTGCACTCACCACCAGCCACCTCCAGAGGGCCGTTTTTCTTCTTCAGCTCCTGCAAAGCTTCAGTGAACTCCTTCCCTCCTTTTTTCTCCAGAGCAGAGCCTGAGAGCGTGGAGAAGACTGCGATTAATGAAAATAAAAACATCTGAGCCGCAGACAGAGAGCAAAAAGCGAGGCAGCTGGAGCAGACAAGCAGGAAAATATGAGGATGGAAGGACAGACTGGTGGAAAGGCAGACACACAAGTGCCAATCATTTCTAATGGCCTCTCTGAACTATCCCCGTTAGTTAGGAGACGCTGAAAGCAAAGTTTTTTCAAAGATTCAAGGCTGCTACTTGTTTCGATGACCCGTTCTGAGTGTAGATTTACAGCTTTTAATTCTTTCCTCTGTTCAGATTTACATGAAGTGGACCCTCAGTCCACTGCTTGCAAGTCCATCTAGAGGAAAACATTTCACGTAAAATCTTTTTTTTTTTTTAAATAATCTATTAAGGAAACCTGCACGTCAAGGTTTGACGTTCACCACAACGAGTTCAGATTCACTCGGAGCTCAAGAGGAGCCGCGAAGAAAAACAGAAAAGAGAAGAAGCCCGTTTAACTTTAGCCGAAGCAGGAATTCAGTGTGTTGGCTGTAGCATCGTTAAAACAAAAGGGGTTAGCGTCAGCCTTCTAAACTTAAAGCTCTTCAGGTGATACGACAGGGAACCCAATCGATAAAGATCGAGCCGGCTGTTAACGGTTTAATAGTTAAACTTTTGTTTCCTCGTGCGCACTGATCAGCCTTCAGAGGTTTGGATCTGAAGCTATAGGAAACAACCTTTCTCAGAAACACTGAACTGACAGCTTGGTCGTAGTTCACAGGACAAAGGCCATGAGACAGACGGTCTCAGACGGTCGACGTCTCAGTCATTTGGGTGAAAACAACAAACGGGAGCAGCAGCTTGGTGTGTCGGTGATCACAGGAGGAAAAAGTGCAACAATTCTGTGGAGGAATAAAAAACCAGCAGCAATGTTTGAACAATTAAGGTTTTAACTCATTTTGGAAGTTAGTTTGGTCTCAAGTGAATGAAAGTTCACTAGATCCTTCACAGCAGCTCGTCCAAGACCTCAACCAAAGGGAGTGTTTGCCAACAAATCAGAAACGCCGAGTCATCCGAGCGAGGGACGGACTTACAAAGGAGAAACACGAGTCCGAAAACTTCTCGGAGAAAGAGGCGCTGCACGCCTTTAACATTAACTCTGGAGAGAAGAAATTAACAAGTGATGGACAGCATAAAACTGTAAAAGACAGACATGAGGTGAGCTCAATTATCCAGGTAGATAACAACGAAAAGGGTTAAATTGTGTCATCTGGACCAGTTTCTATGGCAGGGCACTGACTGAGGAAGTCCTCTGGATGGGGGACGAAACGTTTCTCCCTTAAAAAAAACTGGTCCAGATAACATGATTTAACCTTTTTGTTATAAAAGACAAAGTTTTGCTGCAAATAAAACAACAAAAAAATATTTACAGAACTGATAACGCTCCGCATACTCAGTTTTTGAACGGTGGGAGCTCCACGTTAGAGCCTCTAAACCAAAATCTGCTCAGATAAATTTCCAGTAAAAAACGTTTATTTGATTTATTTTGATCCACATTTTATGTTACTGAAAAATTGTTCAGTATGACGAGTCCCATTCTTTAATCTGCGTTACGCTCAAACGAGCTGTAAAACGTTTCCAGCTCCACCAACTGAATGAGCAAATCATAGCTCCTGTGACAACGTGTCAGATTCAGTTTGCTCCACAGGAACGTGCTCGTAATGTACGATTATGATCATTCACAAAAAATCATCAATGGAAAAATTACTTAAAGGGTAACGCTGTTCATAGAAAGCTTAAAGCTGAATTTCTTAACCTCTTCAGACGATAATAAACTCTAAAAACTAAAAGTAATGACGGAAATATCTAACCCAATAATGTTTTTACTTGCACTTTTTAGCTCTGGTTTGTTATAAACAAGAAGAATATAAGAAGAAAAAAAACTTGAGTAATTGTGTTTTCTGTAAAAATGCAGAGTGAATGCCGAATGACTTGGATGAAAGATAAAATATTAAAGTTGAAACAAGCAGAATAGAAACTAAAATGATCAAAATCGTAGCTAAATTATAAAGTTTGCTAAACAGCAGCTAAAAGCTAAATGTAACAAAACAATGGCTAAAAGTTAAACTTTGCTAAATCACAGCTAAAAGCTGAAATTGTCGAGACAGCGCATAAAAAAGTAGCATTTAAGAAAAATAGAGCAGCTACGCTGGAGTAGATTTCCAAAAACGTTTCTGAAGGATGCATTTTATGTAGAAATTATTTTAGTGAATAAAGTTTGAAAAATAAAGTTACAATTATATATGTAATTGCACACTTTGACAAATCGAGTTAATGTTTAAGAGAACGATGTGTTTAATTGCAGCTGCTTATTTTTATTCTTGCCATTGAACTTTCTCTCCAGGATCTCACTGCATTAAACAGAAAACAGCGCAGTCTTTTAATATTTAATTCATGAAATTACCGTATTTCCCAGCATATAAGTTGCACCGCCGTATAAGTCGCAACGTCTAATAATTTGGAAAAATCCATAAATATATGTCACTTTGCCATATACGTCGCATCTATTGTGCGTCACCGCTGACAACCTGGAAATGTGGGCCGGTGTGCCAAAAATTGATTGGCAAATGGCGGCCGCGGGAGCGTGCACGATAGGACTTTAATATGAATTTAACAAGATTAACACTTAAAACAATTATTTGTTTGCTTGACGTTATAGTAAAGTTGTGTCTCAGTCCAACTTTTTTTTAATAAATGAAATTTGACAATGAAATCAGTTGCATTTCAAAAGCCAATACGCGGAAGTAAGAGCGCGCAGAGGGACGACTTGCTGTGCGTTTCTTCGAAATTTGACAAGATAACCACCTAAAAACAATTGTTTGTTAGCTCGACGTTATAGTACAGGTGTGACTCAGTTGAACTTTTACTTAATAAATGCACTTCGATGGTCAAATTAGCTGCATTTCACCGGGGCGGCGCAGTGAAATGAAGCTGATTTGACGGTTGCTCCAGGCGAGCTGGACGAAGATGGCAGGCAGACTGTGTCATTAATAGCCACTTTTACCCAATGCATGACACAACAGCATGCCCTACTACTCAAATGCCATCTAGTGGCTGAAAATGATAGTGTTCAATATTTTCAATGTCAGAATGAATGAAAACGGTCAATAATTGGTTTATAAATATGGGGAAAATCCATAAATAAGTCGCTTTGTCGTATAAGTCGCAGGGTATGCAAACTAGGCAAAAAAGTGTGACTTAGGCGGGAAAATACGGTATGTAGAAAGTGTTCACCGCATCAACGGAAGGTTTAATTTTTGGGGCATATTTGGATTAGAGCTTCCTAGAATAAAGGAGAGTGAAACAAGAATGTGCTGCTGTGTCGTTTTCTCCACAGACTGTAACGTCGACCGTCTGGACATGCAGAGGGAGAGCAGACAGGCAGCGGAGGTCTCTGCAGCTTCAGTGGTTCCTTTACCTACTTCACCACCTGCGAACAGGGACGAGTTGGTCGGGTGAACGACAGCGTCGCTCTCCACCACGGAAATGTCGGCTTGAACAACTTGTAACTACAAGACGACAACAACGACAAACAGGCAACAACATGGTGGTGAAAACACAGTGAGAACATAAGACCAGTGATGAGGGGGAGAAATAGATGATGGAGAAGAACAGGAAGAAAATACTGAAGTGAGAGCTCTCGTTGGCTGAGGAGACGGGACACGAGGAGGCAGAGGGTCAGGGTCACACAGTTGGTTGTATTTAGTAAATAATAACTAAACGTCTACATTTAATTATAAAAATGAAACATGTTTTGTTTTCATCCAACTGTGTCGCCCCGATTCCTGAATTTAACAACCACACTCCAGGTGAGTGATCTCTCAGTCAGGCTGCACTCTGCTGACCTATGCTGGTTTCAGTACAATGAAATGCTGTTTGGGCACGTTTTACTCCTGAAATAGTTTCAGGCGCAGCAAAGACCTGGCAGCCAACTGACAAAATGACAACCTGGAATGAACCTCGACACGTTCCAACAACAGGAAGAAAAGAAAAAACAAAAAAACGAAGGAGCTTTGATGAAAATCGTTGAAAGTCAACACATGAATTCTTCTCTTTTTATTTGATTAATCTTTGATTAAATGGCATCACATCAAATAAAGGGTTAACTGAGACCACACAAAACACAAGATCTCTTTTTTTTTTAAACACACTGTGAGCAGCTTATTTTAATTTCCAAATGATGGTCATCCTGGAAACTTCAAAAAGCTCTTCCATGTTGGCATTTTAAACATTACATCCAGTGTGCTAACGAAGGTGTAAATAATTTAATGTTGCTCAGTGAAAGCCTGCATCTTTAACGTGGATTTTACTGGAGCTGTATAATGCATCAAAAAGTAATCATCATCACATCGACTGCAGTAAAAATCATTACTGCTGTACACACAGTGCGGTTCTGCTCAGCTTGTCAATAATGCATTTGGACAGTCTGGACTCTCGTTGCTCAAAGCACCACATGATTAAAACTATAGTGGTTGAGATGCTAACAAGAGCAGGCCCCGTTCAGACCTGGTTTATCTACAGGTCTTCAGTAATCAAACCACCGTGATAACCGAGGGACTACTGTATATCCAGTTAGTGTTAAATGCATGTCCATGGTCCAGAATGCAGCAGCCCGATTTTTAACCAGTACAGGCAAAAGAGAGCGCATTACACCAGTTTTGACCTCACTGCACTGGCTACTGGTCCACCTTTGAATCCAGTTCAAAATACTCCTGTACGTCTACAAATCGCTGAACAATTTCGGCTGATGGGGGTTAAGGGCCTTGCTCAAGGGCTCAGAGTGGGGCAAATGAGAGTGGAGACAGGAGTGGGTATTTCAGCTTCCCCACCCACATTTTTAACGTCGTCAGTCCAGGGAGTTGAACCGGCGACCTTCTGATCACAGGCCCACCTTCTCTAACCTCTGCACCACCACTCCACCCTAGCTTCAGCTGTATAAAGGTAATAAACAGCCATCCTTGGGAATGTTCTGAACACGCAGCCAGTTTGATTATCTTGTTTTTTGGGGTTAAAGGTTTCAGTGAACTGTTCGTCAGGATCCTGAATTTAAACAAAAAGTCTGCGTTTTCGTTACGACTTTATTATTCAGAGTGGATAACCACGATGCTGTATGGGTGAGTTTCTCCTCAACGTTAACGTTCAGGCGAACTGGACCACTGCTGCTGTGGTCACTGTAATCTATGTAGAGCTGTTTCAATCACAACATTCGGAGCAGCGATGTGTCGCAACGTATTCGCCAACGTAATCACAGCGCAGACAGTGGAACTGCGTAAAAGTAAATAAAATGGTAAAACAGCTGACAGATGTCAAAACACTGAGCTGAGTTAAAACCTTTAGTCAGACGCAAACTTAATTAATTATGCTTGTTTGGGATAACTCGACAAAAATGTGACATAAATGGCTTTAAGCTTAGTTATTTTAAAAAAGTATATACAGTACTTCAGATTTATGAATGCATTCTCCAGAGTATTTGCAGGTTGTAGGAGTTCCATGACAATGCTCTATACGTGTTAACATTTAATACAAAATTATATTTTAGATCGATTTTGGTCCAAGATGGCCGCGCTCAGCCGAGCCGCAGCTTCACAGGCTCCCGGTGAACTCGATCCGTTTTGTTCCTGTTGTTTTTGTTTTCACTTTTTTTTTGCTTTCAATGTACATCCACAGTACAGGTACGCCGCGACACACGTGGATTTTTCTGTATTGCTGCCTTGCATTTCATTGTGCCATCCTGCCATCGTGGGTCAGTTCTTCCAGCCTCGGGCTCAGGCCTGTCATGGTGGCTGTCTCCATGATCCTCCATCTACCTGCATGGACCGAACTCTATGGACCCGTTCAGTTCCGCGGGGAAACCTGGATGTTCTCCGTCTGCCGGACCCAGTTCTGGAAGGCAGTCTGGGAGGGCAGCTACTGCAGTCATTATTATCATCGAGCTGCTGACGGGACCCGCTAACTAGACCACGCCGCTACCGAACCACACCGCCAAAAGTATCATGCTGCTAACTGGACCACGTTGCTAAAATAACCTCACCGCCATCAGAACCACTCTGCCAATAGGACCATGCTGCTGTAGATTTATTTATTTTACACTTTTGGCATCTTGTTTCTGTATTTTTGTTGCATGCTTTGAATAAATCCCAGTTTATGTTAGTTTTGGGGCTCCAAGCCCGACTCCGCTCGCATTAGCATGTAAATTATAACAGAACCTATGAGAATTGTGCTGCTGCTGTTCGGTGTATTAATTTGCACTATTAGTGTTTAGCGTACATCTTAGATCTTTTACCGTTTGGCGTTTGTTTAGTGTATATCTTGTGCCCCATTTGCACTGCTCCTAATCAGCCCCAACCCTGCTCAGCCTGGATTTGCACCTGCACTTTAGGACCAATTCTGGAGGCGTGTCCAGAACCCAAATCCTGCTAATGAGAGTTCTGCTGAGTTAAACTCAAAGCAGTCTGCTCCTCAGATAAATAATGTTAAATTATTATTTTTATATATGAATGTTTCTGTTCAGTGCCCTGAGACGACTTCTGTTGTGACTTGGCGCTATATAAATAAATTGAATTGAATTAAATCAACAACAAACAAAAATGTAGAAACATTTCTTCTTTCATCCGAAAGACAAAACGTTTCTACTTTTTTTTTTGTTTTGTTTTTTGAACGTCCAGAGGACCAGACTTAACTTTTTTAGATTTTTCTACCTGGATTATTAAGCATGCATCAGGATATCTATATTTTTCTTCATCACTTGATGTATTTGCGCTCAATGAGGTTTTATTTCTTGTATACAGATTATTTTTAACTTTGATTTAAATCTTTAATTTAAAGTGTAATTCTTGTTTTGTGATTTGTACATCTGTGGGTTAGAATAAAGTTGAACCAAAAGCGGTCTCTCTTCTTTAAACATGGTTGAGGGAAATATTCCTGAGAGATCCAATAAGTTAGTCTTTTTTATGATTTTTCAGCTGAATTAACTTTAACAGATTATTTAATAAAGTCAACGTGAAAACAGGATTTCATGATAAAGCCGGCACCGTTAATTTATTTTTTAATCTTTACCGATAAAAGCAACTTATTTTTTATACATAAAATGTTTTTAAAAAAACGTTCCCACCCTTCGTCCCGGTCCTCCCGCCTGCCAGGGCTCAGAATCCGGCGTTTGTGAGCAGGCGAGGCCGGGGCTCAGGGTCCGGCCTCGCGGGCTTCAATAGATCATCAGCTCGTATGATCCTCCGCGGTGACTCCGCTCGCTCGAATGTTGTCGTCAGTCACCAAACACTAAAAACGCCTGGACTTCAGAATTAAACACGGCGTTGTCGTTAGCGTTTTTAAAATCTTAAATAGATCCAGCTGCTGCTCCGTGTCCCGAAAAATTGCAAATGGAGGATCAGTGAAAAGTTTCTGAGATCCGGTGACTCCTCCCCCCTGACCAATCAGAGTCCTGCATTCACGTTTGGTCCGGAGTCAGCTCGACCCAGCTCGCTCGGTCCCACCAGAGAAGCAGGGACCAAAAGAGGTCCTGAATCAGCCTCGAATCAGCTCAAAATACGAGCTGAAGTACTGGTGCAAAAGGGTTCTTTCTGTGGCGGGCTGCCAGAATTGGGGCTTTTTATGGGCAGTGCAAATGGGGCAAAAGAGAGGAGGGGAAACATAAATGTCTAAAATGGGGTGTGGGCAGTTGAAAACTGACTTTATATTTTCCGGCATACAAGTCGCAGTTTCTTGCATAGATTCGTCAGTCCTGCGACTCGTACTCCGAAGCAACTTAGAAATGTTTTTCTTTCCATATTCATAACGCAATTTTTGACTGATGCTTTCAATTTCCAAGAACTGCAACAGCGAGTCCTCCCGTGCGCGCTCGCTTCACTCAGCTGGTGCAGGCGGAGGAACGCTGGAGAGCTAGCCGCTCCGGCCGCGATGGATGAATGGATGGACGGCGCCGCCCAGGCGAAACGAAGCCGTTTTGACCGTTAAATAAACGCATAATAAACACGACGGGTCAGCGGTGACGCATAATAAATGCGACTTATACGCTGAAGTGACTTGATGCTTTTTTTTAGCTGATGCGACTTGTACTCAGGAGCGACTTATACGTCGGTCAATGTGAGAATTGTTTTGGTATTTCTTTATTCAAATAAAAAAAGCATTAAAAGTCTTTAGGTTTTCTTTTAAAACTGTCCAACATAAACTTGCTGCTCACAGTGTGCATGAATAGATCCAGATGAGACCAGTCACTTTAGGCAGTTTAGCAGACGATGTTCAACTGCTGGACTTTCAAGGATTTCAGATCAGAAGGCCCACTGTGACCGCAGGGCGGGGAGGGGGGGGTGCGGTATGAGGAGCTCACCTAGATCATCTTTAAGTTCAAGTTCAGTATTGGTGGGGTTGATGACCCCGTCCACGTCAAAGCCAGCCAGGTTACTGACCTCGCTGTGGATAAGGTTGAGCTGAAAAAGTGGGAGGAGGAGGATGAAGAAAGCGGGGGGGGGGGGGGGGGGGGCAGGCATGCAGAGGAGGAGATGGAGCAAAAAAACAAGAGGTGAGGAAGCAAAGCCATTAAAACCAGAATCACTCTGCAGCTCAGAGGGATGCCTCGACTTTCTGAGTTGATTATAAAACTAACAAACTTTACAAATCTTTATTACATTAATGTGAACAAAGAAGTGCATTTGGAGTAAAGGCGAAAACTTGGACGCGCTTGTTAACGCGGCTATTTTGAGAGAAAGCAAAGCAATATTGTTTCTGATTGAAAATACAGAATCAACCTCAAATCACATCTCTAGATAAAACCACTATGTTTTTTTTTTATCTACAGGTGCTGGTCATAAAATTACAATATCATGAAAAAGTTGATTTATTTCAGTAATTCCATTCAAAAAGTGAAATTTGAACATTATATTCATTCATTACACACAGACTGATATATTTCAAATGTTTATTTTTTTAGGTTGATGATTATAACCGACACCTAATGAAAACCCCAAATTCAGTATCTCAGAAAATTAAAATATTATTTAAGATCAATTAAAAAAAAGGATTTTTAGAAATGTTGGCCAACTGAAAACTATGAACATGAAAAGTATGAGCATGTACAGCACTCAGTACTTAGTTGTTGCTCCTTTTGCCTGGAATACTGCAGCGATGAGGCATGGAGTGGATCAGTCTGTGGCACCGCTCAGGTGTTATGAGAGCCCAGGTTGCTCTGATAGTGGCCTTCAGCTCTTCTGAATTGTTGGCTCTGGTGTATCGCATCTTCCTCTTCACAACACCCCATAAATTTTCTACGGGGTTAAGATCAGGTGAGTTTGCTGACCAATTAAGAACAGGGATACCATGGTCCTTAAACAAGGTACTGGGAGCTTTGAATCTTTGTGCAGGTGCCAAGTCCTGTTGGAAAATTAAATCTGCATCTCCATAAAGCTGGTCAGCAGCAGGAAGCATGAAGTGCTGTAAAACTTCCTGGTAGACGGCTGCGTTGACCTTAGACCTCAGAAAACACAGTGGACCAACACCAGCAGATGACATGGCACCCCAAACCATCACTGACTGTGGAAACTTGACACTGGACCTCAAGCAATGTGGATTCTGTGCCTCTCTTCTCTTCCTCCAGACTCTGGGACCTTGATTTTCAAAGTAAATGCAATTTTTTCTTTAATCAGAGAACATAACTTTGGACCACTCAGCAGCAGTCCACTCTTTTTGTCTTTAGCCCAGGCGAGACACTTCTGATGCTGTCTCTTGTTCAAGAGTGGCTTGACATAAGGAATGCGACAGCTGAACCCATGTCTTGCATACATCTGTGTGTGGTGGTTCTTGAAGCACTGACTCCTGCTGCAGTGCACTCTTTGTGAATCTCCCCCACATTTTGGAATGGATTTTGTTTCACCATCCTCTCCAGGGTGCAGTTATCCCTATTGCTTGTACACTTTTTTTATAGCACTTATATACTTTTATAGCCCTTCGCCTCTCTATTAATGTGCTTGGACACAGAGCTCTGTGAACAGCCAGCTTCCTTAGCAATGACCTTTTGTGACTTGCCCTCCTTGTGCAAGGTGTCAATGGTCGTCTTTTGGACAACTGTCAAGTCAGCAGTCTTCCCCATGATTATGTAGCCTACAGAACTAGACTGAGAAACCATTTAAAGGCCTTTACAGCTGTTTTGAATTAATTAGCTGATTAGAGTGTGGCGCCAGGTGTCTTCAATATTGAACCTTTTCACAATATTCTAATTTTCTGAGATACTGAATTTGGGCTTTTCATTAGTTGTCAGTTATAATCATTAACATTTAAAAAATTACAGAAATAAATCAACTTTTTCTATGAAATTCAAATTTTATGACCAGCACATACATACGTACGTACGTACATACGTACGTATGTATGTATGTATGTAAAAATCTAAAACAGGACTATAATCTTGCACATTAAATCAACACAATAGGCCCAACAGTCTGACTGCATTTAAATATTTAGAACCAGATGTTAACAATAATAAATTCAATTGAATATTTTGTTTCACATCTTTAAGGCTCAAACAGAAATAAAGAACACATCACAAGCAGAAACTAACCAAATCTTATGATGAATAAAGCTAGCTGTGTGGAGCCTGTTGGAGGCTAGTTGGCTAACAACATCCGTAAGGGAACCTCCAAAATGTCTCGAAACGATCTTCCTTGAGTCACAGAGGCTTGAAGTCCTGCCACTTGAATGTTTAACAAGTTCAAAGTGAAATAATGTGCATATACAAATTCATATACACTCAAATATATTGAAATAGAATATACGTATACGCTAAGACAAAAATAATGATGGCGTATTGGCCATCAGCTGCCCTGTTCTGTAAAGATCTACAACGGCCGCAGAAAACTCATATCAGTCGAGCTCTACTTAACTTACTTTGTCTTTGTATCATAAAACTGCTGGATCTCATGACTCAGGTGTTGCAGTTTCAAAGTATTAAAAAAATACTAGCCATTATCTTAAGTGTGACGTAGCAATAACGGATAACGTACCAAGTTTTTCTTTCAGCTGCTCCCTCTGCAGGAGTCTCCACAGCTAGCAGATTTGCACGACTGATCTGGCAACCGTTTTACACCGGATCCCCTTCTTGACGCGACCTGGTCTCAAACCTGCAGCTTCAGGATTACACGCCGTGGCACTGACCACCTAACTACTGCAGCGCCTGGCTGATATGTCAAGGCATCCCTCTAAAATCTCAACTAAACACCCAGTTTGCTCACGTCCCAGTTCCCATTAGTCACACCTTATAATCCACCAACAAGCTTTAAGATGAAAATGAGGCAAATCAGCCACAAGAAAAGTAGTAAAGAAATCAGAGACTGACGATGTGAGTGAGCACTAAAAGAACAACACGGTTATAAAATAAGACTGTAAAGCAGAGAAACGCTTTTTATTTTTATTTATGGGTTGATTATTTCTGTCAGAGGAAGGTTAAACACCCGTGTGATTTCAACAGATGCTTTAATCTGTGGTCAGCTCCACGTTGCTGTTCCTTAATGGAGACAACAGACCTACAGTGCAGAGCAAATCAGATTTATGTTGCGTTTCAAATCAGCGCAGCCAGGATCACCGAGATAAAATCTGTTTTTTATGTTTCTTCAGACAGAACTCATTCGTTGTTCCTCACTAAGACAGAATTTATTATCCGAGGGTGTGTTCATCTGAGTGATGCAAACAAAGAGTTCAACAATAAAGAACAGGAGCGAAACTATAAAGGCTGAATTGATTTTTTTTTTTTCCAACTAAATGTTTGATTAATTTACCTCGAACAACAACTGAGATAAATATGCTTACGTGAGCTGAAACACTGATCTGTGGAAGTCCATTTGTCGAAACAAAAGGTCTCATTTCTGCATTTTAACCACAACGAGTCACCAATTTGCAGAATTACTCTAAATAGTTTTCAGTAAATCACCTTGAAAGGTAACAAAGCATTAATGTGTAGTTCTGATTGAAATATCGCCTGTTTTTAACTTGAATGGACACAGAAGAAAAAAATCTTATTAAGTAAAAAGAGTTGACTTCATTTTTTTTAACCCATAAAAGAACCACCGACTCTTTAGCATCATTCTTAAATTTTTTTGGGTTGCTTCCTTCTGCAGGCGTCGAAACATGAAATATTTGGTCATTGATTTACACGACGCTTGAACTGACGCAACCTGGGCTCGAACCTGCAGCCTCACGATTACAGGACTACTGCACTGACCGCTGAGCCACTGAGCCCAATATTTTATATTATCTAAACTCTGCTTTTTATGCGCTAATGACTTTGTAAAACATTACAAATAAATAAATAAAACTGTTCAAATGGATTTCCACAAATTGACTCCATTAAAACTTGAAATGCAGAATAATGGAGTCATAATTGTTACTATCACAATTAAATGTTGTGTCTAGACTGGGGCATATAACAGACATATTGTGCTATGAAATGTGAGATTTTTTTTTTTTTCAAATATATTTCACTTTATAACAAAGTGAAGATTCCTCATAAGAGAAAAACCAAATGAACACCAACATTTTGGCCTCAACTTTGATTTATTTTGGCGTTTTTGTTCAGGTATGAGGATATTACACAGATTAAATACCAAACAAAGCCAAATTATTGGGAATATTTTTTTTAATTATGTTTTCTCAAAAATATAACTATCAAAAGACAAACATGTTTTAAATTAGAAGTTTTGAGTCCCGATCGGAGAATCTGAGTGGGTTTGCCTGCTTTTCTAACACTACAGGTCTTTGTGAGCATCATTAATTCACCTCAATCAATCAATCAATATTGGCTTAACTTTCTGCACAATCAGCTGAGACCTGTGTGAGGCGAGTCGATCTCTGGATGTCTGGTGAAGCTTACCTTCTGACCCAGGAAGAGACTCTTTGTGGAGAGCACAGTGAAGCTATCAGATGGAGAGCCCTCTGTGGTGCTGTCTGCGGATGCTGCCTTGCTCACCTCACCCTGCCTCTGTTAACGAGAACAGACTTTGACACGCGACTCTTTGTTTTGATCTGTGACAATAAAGAAAAGCTCATGAGTATTATAGAGGTCAAAGCTTTGCTGCAGTGTTGAGCTTTTTAAACAGCCCGACTGATGTGGAAATTTTGGCTATCGTCTATACCGACATTGGGAGGGGCAGCCAATAACGATATATTGGCTAAAAATCTTTGAGCTTTGTCCACCCCCCAAGAATCTCAGTAAACACCTACTTTTAAACCCGTTTCAACACTTGAAGTCTTGAAACAGTCTTCCTAACCTGCATTCACATTTTCTATCCTCCACTGTTCACCGTGACGTTATCAAGTGTTAGAAAAATATAAGTTAAACAAACGTTCTTCCCTGTTCATTGTTTAAACAGTCGGTCACGTGTGCTGAAGGCCTAATTAGCATTGACCACAGCTGTGTTTATTTTTTGCAGAGAAGTAAAGATTTCAGACAAACGATGCATTTCATCGAGGACGGCAAAGATAACGTTACGAACACTGATATATATTTATATCTACGTTAGATTTATTGTTCTGGATAAAGTTTTATAAGGCAGTAACCTATATAACCTTATCTAAACGTTAGCTTGCTAACTTAAGAGGCACGTAGCTAATGACAAGCGGGTTGGAGGATTGAAGAGAATTTATTATTGTTGATAGGGATGCACAATATTGAATTTTTGGCCGATATCTGATATGCCAATATTTAAAAACTTATTTGGCCCATAACCGATACCTTTTTTTTTCATAGACCTACTTACAGAGACTACACAGATTTATCTGCTGTGGAATTAAAATACTACATTATTCTGCATCGTCTTTGTCAATGTGGCCTGCTACCAAATGCAGATGCCAAAAAGGAGGCTGAAAATGATGTAACACTTCAACTTGGATTATGTTTAACGTCAAATTTATTCATGAAATTCACTCTAACACAATGACAACACTCGGAACAGCACGTTTTCACAAATCTAAACTCAACAGCGCGTGACATCATAATCTGCTGGCACTGCAGGCATCCTCGTCATTGGGTTATACAAAAACAGATATATATATATATATATATATATAGCGCCTTTTATATCGGTGAGTTATTTTGATGGAATAGCCGATGTCCGATATTTAACTGTATCGCTAATATCGTCCGATACCAATACCATGCTGATAATATTGTGCATCCCTAATTGTTGATTTTTTTTATTTTATTTTACAGATCAGTTTCAATAAACTTACCATGCTCTGTTTAGCAAAATACACTGCGCAGTATTGTTCTCTGCTTCGGCTGTGCTGTGAGTAAAGTGTGCAGCATGGCCATAACTTGAAAGTAGTCTGCATGCGCCCTCTGCTGGATACATTGTACAATTACAGCTCGTTTACAGCATTTTAGGGATGAAAATTAGAAGTGTTTATATCTGCGCATAATGGACCAATTATCACAGATACCGATATGTTCCCAGACGCCTATATTGGCATAAACTATCTTTTCCGATATATCGCTCGGACTCTACTTTTTAATAATGGCTGAGGAACCCTCGAGCGACAGCAGCTACTGATTAGAACAGGGCACTGCTCATACCACCACTACTACTTCACACCTACATGAAACTCCATTCTGTGACTACCTCCCTTTGAAGATCAGAAGCATAACAGCAGCAGGATGATGTCAACCAGTTTTAACTTATTTATATAAATCAAGGCAGAAAACAATGCATCTCATCTCAGTTAAAAGGGTTTTATAAAAGCAGCCGTAGATTTTAGGTTAAAAGGTCAAAGATTACACACGTGGATATCTTAAATTGGTTGTTAGATTTGCAAACATTATTTGTGTGAACTTTAATTATATTAGGTCATGCTTTTAAATGAATCAGCACCAAAGTATCAGCCAAACGTGTTTCTGGTTCTATTAAAAATCCAAGCAAACATTTAACCGCAGGTGTTAACGACACGCAGAATCATTTTGAACTTCCTTGCATCAACTTTAACACATTCAGAGTTAAAGTAATCAGGTTTTTCACTTTGAGACAAACCTTGGCCTTCCCTCCCGTCTTTTTCCCAGTCGTTTTCTTAGCAGGTGCTTTCTTCACCGTCTTGGGTTTCTTCTCAGGAGCAGGCGAGACGGGAGTTTCCAGTTTGCCCTTTGCTCCCCTCTTCTTGGCCAACAACTCGGGATGGATGTTGGGCAAAACTCCACCCGCTGCGATGGTCACACCTTTGAGCAGCTGACACAGAAAAACAAAAAGCTAAATTCAAGACTTCTTGTCAAATTAACCAGAAGCTTTCTTTTTTTTTTTTTTTTAATCAGAAAATAGCTGAGCTCACCTGGTTCAGCTCCTCATCGTTGGCAATGGCCAGCAGGATGTGTCGCGGTGTCACACGGCCCTTTTTATTGTCTCTTGCAGCATTTCCTGCCAACTCCAGGATCTCCGCTAAATATCAAAAGAACATTAAAAAGTACTCATCAGTATGAAAGTCTCTTCTGTCCAAAAACAATCTGTCAGCACGACTTGTGTTTGCAAAGCTGCATCTGAAAGAACCACATGACTATAGTAACAATGAACAGATGTGAACAAAGTACAGATGTTTGGCCACATATGAACAGCACCACGTGCAGCAAGAACAGCATCTCAGCATAAATACCATCTGTCAAGCACAGTGGTGGAGAGGTGATGATTTGGGTTTGTTTTGCAGCCACAGGACTTAGGCACTTTGTAGCCATTTAGTCAACCATGAACTGCTTTGTAGAGCTAAATATTCTGGGGCCATGTCCAACTGCTAACGCTTGGCCAAACACACGAGCCGAATGGGCCGAGTCTAGAAGGAATGGGAGGTGCTGTAATGCAACAGTCAAAGTCCAGACCTCAACTTGAATAAAATGCTGTGATGGCACCTGAAGAGAGCTGTGCTGAAACAAACGCCTGCAAGCCTTAATGAATCCAAGCAACGTTGTAAACAAGAATGGGCCAAAATAGCTTTCAGTGTAAAGACTAACAGGAAAAAAAAAAAAAGACGACTGTATTTTCCGGCGGACATGTTGCATCAGTTCATATTTGTCTAATAAAGTGAAAAAAAATCCATAAATATGTTGTATACGTCGCATCTATTATGAATCACCGCTGACGTGTTGCGTTTGCTTCACGTCTCCGCCGACAACCCGGAAATGTGGACCGGTGCTGTTCCAAAAACCGATGGGCAGCCAAATGGCAGCTGCGGGAGCATGCACGGGAGGACTTTAACAAGAATTTAACAAGATTAACACTTAAAAACAATTATTTGTTTACTCAAAATTATAGTAAATGTGTGTCTCAGTCTAACATTTGCTTGATAAATGCACTTTAATGGTCAAATCAGCTGCATTTCGCCGGAGTGGTGCAGCTGTTTTGATGGTTCCAAGCAGAGAGCAGAATGAAGGTGGGGAACTACGGCAAGCCGATTGAGTCATTAATAGCTGGTGAAGATTCTCAGTCATCCAGGACATGGTAAATTCTAAAAAGTTCAAGAAAAACAATAAAGTATAAAATATAATAAGTAAAGTCCAGTTGTTTATGTCTTGAACTTTTTTGAATTTGTCATTATAGCCACGTTTTTCTATTACATGATACAACAGCCAACAGCATGCCATACCCTTATTAATACTCTGCTGCCATCAAGTGGCTGAAAGTGGTACTGCTCCTTTTTTTTTCAGTCAAAATGAATGGAAACGTCATATCTCGGCCAAAAAAAAGTTTATAAATATGGGAAAAAAAATCCATAAATATGTCGCTTCGGCCTATAAGTCGAAGGGCATGTTAATTATGCAAAAAACTGCAACTTATAGGCTGAAAAATATGGTACTTCAAGTTAAAGGTTTGAAAGCTCAGTCATCCAGGTATATAAATCACACACAAAAAAGGTTCAATCATGTCACCTGGACAGACTCTTTTTGGGAGAAATGTGTTGTCTTTCATCTGAAAGACTTCATCAGTCTGAGGCCTGCCAACCCAGATCTGTCTTATAAATAGCACCTCCTTGATGTGTTTCAAGAAAAGGTTAAATCATGGTGCAGCTTATGCTTCTGTGTGTTGCGAGTTGACCATCTCGCCTAAAACATTTGATTGTTTGATGCATGGTGCTTGTTTTGGATGGATGGTCGCTTTTTGCACGTGTTTCTTTGGATTCCACAGAGGGCTGGCTCGAAACACATCAAGGAGGTGCTATTTATAAGACAGAGCTGGGTTGGCAGGCCTCAGACTGAAGAAGTCTTTCAAATGAAAGACGAAAAAAGTTTCTCCCAAAAATAAACTTTCCAGATGACACGATTTAACCCTTTTTTGTGACTACTTCAAGTTACTGCTGCTAAAAAGTGGTTCTACAAGCTGCTGCAACATGGGGTGGGTAGTTTTTTCACACAGCTTTTCCATTTTGTCTTTGTTTAATGAACAATGTCTCAACGGAATCTGTTTAGATTTAAATATTAATGGAACCTGATCATTTGTTTGATTTATAAGACATAAGAATCGAAAGAGGTTTTTTTTCATTACTGTAAACTTTTAATTATGATAATGAGTATTTAGGGAATGGACTTGCGACCCGTCCAGGGTGTACCCCGCCCCTCGCACAGTGATTGCTGGACATGGGCACCAGCGACCCCCGTGACCCAAAATGGAATAAACGGGTAAAGATAATGGATGGATGGAGTATTTAGGGAATGATGGTGATGCAAGTGCGCAACCTAATTTCCAATACAATCAGTAAATTAAAAAAAGTTTGCAGTGAGAGTGACTCTTTAAACTTATTATCAAGTGAAAATCGTACAAATGCATCCTAAATTTAAGCTCACCAGTAAGGTATTCGAGGACAGCAGCCAGGTAGACGGGCGCTCCCACTCCTATGCGATATTTGGGTAACCCCCTCTTGATGTAACGCAGCATGCGCCCCACAGGAAAGATGACTCCGGCCTTGGTGGACCGGGATGTCTTCGTTGACTTCTTCTTACCTCCTCGGCTGGACATGATGCCGAAACTGCAACCAGTGTCAAGCTCTGCAGGGGAAAAAAACAAACATGAGCGTTATTAACGTGCATGAGCATTCAAAATTCCATCTGGTTTTCATCACAGTATAGTGCACGGCAAAAAATATTCTTCTTTCAGCTGTTTTAATATATAATCCATCCTTGTTGCTCTTCTTCATTTCTGTCACGTCCAGTTCTTTCTGTCTTTTTATTATTGCAGCTGTCTCCAAACCAAACAACTGGTCTCACCACCGTCTTGTAAACTTTTCCTTTGCTGCCACCGTTTTGTCACAAATCACTCCTGAAACGTTCCTCCATCCTGACAGTCACCACCAAGTAGCCACTTGAAGTCCTGCACCTTTGTGACCTCTGCTTCTTGGAGCCCCACCGCCCCCCTCCCACTTACACATACAGTAGTCCCTCGCTAATTCGCCGTTCAACTTTCGCGGACTTGCTCTTTTGCGGTTTCTCAACGTAAGATTGTAAACGAGACACAAGTGTCAACTATACTACTCACGTGATTGGGACGGTATGGGATAGAAAGTTCACGGGAAAAAAATATATACTTCGGACAGGTGCCGCCATTTTGTAGTTTTCTTTCAATAAGCCTACACTGTAATGCAATTCAAAGGAACTACACTACCCAGAAGTCAACAGTGCTGCTTTAAACCAAAATGGAGGGAAAGTTTAGCAACGCAAAGTCAGAAGTAACGATTTATCTATTAAACTCACAGAAGTGGCAGGAAAGTCTCAAATAATCCTGAAGCTCGATAATCCACGTGCACGTCAGCCTGGATGGAGCGGTGGGCTTCGTCGCTGCAGGGTAGCTCTGCAGAACCGGAACACAAATGCTGTTCTGCAGAGCTGGCGAGTAAAATTTTGCAGTACTGTACAGTACATACACGTACGTTGTCAAATTACGTAGGTTTAAGAGTTTAGAACATTGCAAGAGTGGGAAAGGTTTACAAAGCCTTAAAATATATATATATACTAAAATAAGTATAGCATTCCATACATTGCGATTTTTCACCCATCGCGGTGGTGTGGAACGTAACTCCTGCGATAATCGAGGGACTTTATGCTCCGTCTTGCTACAGCTGACGTTCTTCTTCTTCATATTAATAAAACATTTGCAGCAACATCGGCTGATCTGTTTCATGCTGCTGTGTTCATCTGCTCAGACCCACTATGCTAAGCTTAGTGTATTTTTAGTTACCGTTTTTCTTAGATCTTATTACTGTTTTTTTTTTTTTTTTATATTTTATACTTTTGTTGGATGTAACGGGGACCCTGTGCACACAATTTTGTTCCACCACATGTGGCATCCGGTGCATATGACGAATAAAGAACCTCTAATTTGTGTTTACCCTTTTTCTTAATTATTGCAGTAGGACTTACATTTTGAAGAAGTTTTAATGCACAAGCTTTGCTTATATGAATACTTCGTACTTAAAATACTGAAAAAAATAAAGACTTATTTAACATAAAATACCACAAAATAAGATGAATATTATAAACAAATTGTTTTGTTGTTGATGACAAACTCAGCAGGGGAGACATCATGCTGCTTCTCATGAATCCCTGTGGGATTAAGTGGGTAATTTACTGAAAATCCACAACAGGATTTTTCTTAATGTCACTCCGGAGCTAAATCAATCTAAATGTCACATCTGAGCAGGAGGATGTGAATTATCATAAGATCCCCAGAGTGAACAGATGTTTTATTCATGACATCATAATCCAGTGCCTGGTTGTTTATTAAATATGCATAAAGACATTCCGATATGTGCGATAAGGAAAAACCCACGAGTGTCAGTCAGTGGGAATCACCGCCACCGTAGGCCACGCGCCCCCCCTCTTCTTCTCTGCTCTCGTGCAAACACTGCACGCGCCACATTACATTAAACGTAACGTTAACCGCGGCGGTTCCGGCATCACAAACAAACACAATCAGCGTGGTTTGAAGCAGCTGCTTCCCCCGGACAGGTGTCGGTGGGTTTATCATTATCACCGCGGCGGGCATTTCTCCGCTGACAGCCATTTCCGCATGTCAACAACCTGCCGGACGCCTCGCGCGGGTCATTTATTTCCTCCTCGGTGTGAACCGACCGACTTGCTTCTGGATTTGAGCTGTCAGACGACGCGGGGGAACGTTTTCCCGTTCGGCGGTGCTTTCGGATGGAAATAACCCCGGTGGAGCGGCGGCAGCTGCCCGCTCCTCCCCTCCCCTTCCTGCCTGTCAGCTCCAGAAACACACGGTCTCCGCGCTCGGCCTCCTCCATGACAGGAAAATAAAATAAAAAAGGCTCGAAAGGGTTCATGCTATGTCGACACGAAGCGAAAAAAAAAAGCGGACGGCGTTTGCGAACGCGCTGGTTTTACTTACAAAAGCAGCAGAGCGGAAATGTCCCCCCGTTCTCCCGGTAACAACCTGGGCAGTGTCCCCGACTCCCACAATCCACAGCGAGCTGAAGGATCCGCGCGAGCCGGCGATGCCCGCGGAGCTCGCGCGCCGAGATGATCTTTAACCCTTTACTCTTTCACGCTGCGTTCATGAAAAAACAGCCGAGCCACCACTGAACGTCTCATGACTGAGGCTACAATTTACATTTAGGCTTTCAAACAGTCTGTGAGAAATACTAATTAACCTTTGACCCCGAGGAGCCCATCATTTTAGATTATATCTTTATATGGGAAGGCGAATCTGTATGTGCAAAAGACTTGACTAAATCTTTTTCTTTCAGCTGCTCTCTTAAGGATCGCCACAGCGAGTTCTCACTAAGATTTGGAATTGTTTTTACACCAGATGCTTCCTCCTGCACTACAGACCACTGAGCTACCACAGCCATCATTGGGGAGCAGATGGTGGGAGTCAAGGGCCTTGCTCAAGGGCCCAGTGTGGGAGTCAAGGGCCTTGCTCAAGGGCCCAGTGTGGGAGTCAAGGACCTTGCTCAAGGGCCCAGTGGAGCAGTGGAGGAAAGTGTGGGTGCCTCACTTGCCCCACCCACTTTTTGATATTGTCAGTTCCAGGAGTTGAACCAACAACCGTCTGATCACAGGCTCGCCTTTTCTGGCCTCTGTGCCTCCACTTCCCACTAAACGCTAAACATTAAAGGATTTAATTAATAAAATAAAGTTGAACAAAAAAAATTGGCATTTTCTGTGAAGATTCAGTGCTAAAAATATTTTGCTGAAACCTGTTTTCTAAAAGCAGAAAACAAGTTGAAACTATCGGAACAAAAGCTAATACTAAACAATGCCTAAGCTGAAGGCTTAGCTAAAAGCTAAAACTAGCATAACAGTGGGGAAAAGGTAAAAAAAAAAAAAAAGCACATTACAGCATGTAAAAACTAAAAGTAAAAAACAATAGGTCAAACTAACAAAACAGTAAAAGTTATAACCAGCACAACAATAGTTGAGATAAAACTCAAAGGAAAAAGCTAAAAACAAAATTTGCAAAGTAGTAGCTAAAAGCTAAACTAGCAGAACAATAGTTAAAAGCTTAACCAGTAGGAAAAAAAGCTAAAATCTATCATTAGCAAAACTGTAGGTAAAAGGTCAAACTACCATAACAGTAGCTGACAGCTAATATCACCAAAACATTAACTAAAAGCTAAAAGTGGAAGATAAAATTAGCACTAAAAAGTAAGTACAAGCTCAAGCTAGTTAAACTGTGGTTAAAAGTAGAACAATAGCTAAAAACTGAAAGAGCAATTCAGTAGCTGAAAGTTAAAATAAGCTAAACTATAGGAAAAAGCTGATAATCAGAACATTAACTAAAAGCTAAAAATAGGAGCTAAAAGCTACAGTTAGCACAAAAAAGTAAGCATAAGTTCAAACAAGCCAAACGGTGGTTAAAAGCGAAACCACTAGAACAATAGCTAAAACTGAAATAATAGCAATAACAGCTGAAAGCTAAAATACCGGTAAGCTAAAATAGTGTGAGTGGTGGCACAGAGGCTAGAGAAGGTAGGCCTATGATCGAAAGGTCGCTGGTTCGACTCCCTGGACCGACAACATCAAAATGTGGGTGGAAAAAGTGAAACACCCACACCTGCCTCCCCACTCTGAGCCCCTGAGCAAGGCTCTTAACCCCAACCATCTGCTCCCAACAGGTCTCTCTTGAAAACGAGTCCTTGAAATAAGCTAAACTGTAGGAAAAAGCTGAAAATAGCAAAACAGTAGCTAAAAGCTAAAAAACCCTGAACAACAGCTTTAAGATAAAATTAGCATATAGTATCTAAAAGCTAAGAGGAAAACAATAGCTAAAGTAGTAAAACATTACGCGAAAGGTAAAAATTAAGCAAGTATGCTAAAGATTTTAAAGAGCATAAAGATTTTCAAGAACTTGAAGAGATCTCAAGGCATTTTTATGTGGAAAAAACAAATAAAAGTTAAATAATTCAACAAGCGGAAGAAAATGGATGGATAATTCAACACAATGTTAATTACAAATACTAAAATTTACAGCTGTAATGTCCCAAATAAGCTAAATGTTTTGATATCTGAACAGGTGAAATAGCTGAAAGTAAAACCCTGTGGGATAAACAAAAAACATGCTGAGTCATCGTTCACACAACAGGAGAAAACTGGAGAACTGACCATTTCTGACAAATGTTTCCAGATGTTTGATGCAGCTGCTGCAGACCCTCAGCAGAGGTCAGGCCTGAGCTGTGCACATGTTAAACCCTGTCCGTGCAGCACACTGCACTGTTTGCACCGCTCTAGAAACATGCCATAGATCTTATGCAGTCATATTCAGAAACAGAACTTTACTGTTCATACATGCATTCAGGAGGAGAGGGGGCCTTTTCAAGCCTAAGAGTTAGTGGAGAAGCATGAGCTACCACATTTACCGTCATGATACTGAGGTCATCTTCACGTGCAGCACATGTAACACATGTGATCTGTGCTGGCAGCATGAGGACTTTCGTGAGTTATTATTTCTGACGACTCTGAAAATCTTTAAAATGATCCAGTTTGTTAAAATGTGATGATTGTCACCTGGCCGGGCAACCAGCCATAGTTTTGTTTATGGTGGTGTCGGTTTGAAAACTTGATTTTTAGACTGTCATGTAGAATTTTAGATTCATTCTCAAGATTTACAATGTCCCAAACATTATACAAAGGGATTTCCCAGCTCTATGCTCAGCAGCAGAGAAAGTCAGTTTCATAGGCAGTTATATTGGTTATGCAGATGTGCATGCACGTGCAAATGCATTAAAAAAAAAAAAAAAATCAAAATACTGTATCATAAAAAAGTTCAAATTTCTTTGTCAACCATTTCCGAAAGTGAATATAGATTCACTACAATTAGAGTGAAATATTTCAAGCATTTAGTTCTTGTAATTTTGATGATTATGGTTTACAAATAATGAAAAAATAAATCAGTGTCTCGGAAAATCTGAATATTACATAGCGTTTGGTACTTTGGCAGAGTGAGCATGGTGCCGAGTCCTGCTGGAAAATAAAACCAGCATCTCCATAAAGCTCGTCAGCAACAGCAGAAGAAAGATGAACATGAACCAGCTTTTATTAACTAAACCCAACACTGTCAGCATTGTGTTGGCTAATACTGTGGTGGCCATCTTAAATTGCGGTGACTCCAAAGATTGATCAGTAGATGCACATCTAATGATTAGTTTCTGAAAACTGAATTACAATTCACCCAGTGGTTCATGAAATATTTTCCTATCAGACAAACACAGGCCAGGGCACCATCATCAAGCTGGCCTTCATGTTCCTAAAAAATAATAACGTGGTGTTTAAAGTATCATAAAGGGAAAGTGGAACAAGTGGGTCTTATTTATATAACTAAGGTCCTTTAAGTATATACATTTGGTACACGAGTGTCAACCTTCACCTGAATAAACCGTGTAAACAGCAGGAAAACACACAGGAGAAGCAGGAACAAACACTTCCGGTTTTGTCCCGTGTCAGCTGACCAGAAATCAGCCAATCAGAAGCCGCCATTCGTTGTAAATAAGACGCTGAGTTTGAGCTCGTGTCAGCGGCTGCAGGGGCAACTGAGGAGGAAACATGGTGCTGGACAAGTCCGTGAGCGGTGAGTCGGTGCTTTATGTGACTGTCAAATAAACCTGCGTGAGTGTTTATACATTTTTTAATAAAGAACGCAATGAGAAGAATGTTTTGAGTTCAGTCAAACGGAACTCATTTAAGAATTTTGAGCAGAATGTGTCTAATCCTGTTACCTTAAAGTTTTCTGACTACTTGCTTTTTTAAAATAATTTGTTTTGAAAGCCTTTAAAACTTTATAATGTATGTCTTAACAACAACCAGGATAAAAAAAACAAGGTTTCAACTGTTGACCAAGTCCTAAAGTTGTAGTTAGCCCAATTATTTTTATTTTACTAATAATTTTTAATGATATTTTAATGTAATTAATAAATGCACACAGTTACAAACTTAATGGGTGATAAATTATTGGATGGTAAAGGATAATTTATTAGTTTATAAGACCATTATGCAATAAATAAGTGCAATAAATTTAACAACACATTTTATTTGTACCGCGTGTTGTTATCTTATAAATAATACTTATTTTTAGTGATTAATTACCACATAATTGTTCTGAAAATAACCTCTAATTAAATTAATGAATCTTTATTTTTTTTAATATTCCCAGTTTTTTAAGAGCTGGATTTTGTTAGTGTAATAAAATGGTTTAAATAAATTTAAAAAAGTACAATCAAACATGAAAAAAAAAGTTAATCTATTTACAAATATTGTAAGAATTTTTCATAGTTGACATTTATACCAAATGATTGCTGAATTTGAGTTTAATCAATAACGGAAATATATTTATGCTTATATCTCGTGTTTATGCTGTTTTCTCTTAGTTTTTTTTCTCTTTTACAAAAACAGAAAGTATGACACGTTGCTCTCTACAGATTTGACTGAAAAAGTGCACACTCACTGTAAGGATGGATTAAAATGAGATTATGTTTAATCCCGCAGCTCTGATATTTCCACCAGGTTTCACAGCACTTAGATGATTATTGTACCATGAATAAAAAAAGAGTTGAATACACTAAAATATTAACATACAGCGCTCGATTATTCCACGTTTTTGTGATAGAATTAGTAGTTTATAAGCAAAATCAAACCATTTCTGAAACAGTACGTGGTTTTATAAGATTTATCTTTAAAACTGTTAAATTGTGCATGTTATTAGTTCTAACAGATGTGGTAACAGATGTGGTAACAGATGTGGTAACCGTGTTTAATGTTTACAGCTGTTATGAAACTGCTCTTAAAATCAAGATAAACTGTGGGACTGTGTTTACAGAGAGGAGGAGAGCTGAGGCGAGCACGGCCGGCAGCCGACAGGTGAGAAAACACATTTGTCCACAAATGTTGGCGTGTTAAAAAGCACATGCGTGTTGAAGACAGACGCAGTTCTGTCAAGACTTGCGTGCATTGCTTCTCATGTTTTACATTTTTTTTATACGCTCATCTTATGACAAGTCACATGGCTTGTCCGAGCTGTAAATTGATAACTCTTTAACTTAGAAATGTCAAACTGCACATCTGGACACCTCAGGGGTCAAGGAGGATCCTGACTAATTTCAAGGTTAAGATCACTGGTGACCATCCATCCATCCATCCATCCATCCATCCATCCGTCCGTCCGTCCATCCATCCATCCATCCATCCATCCATCCATCCGTCCATCCATCCATCCGTCCATCCATCCATCATCTTAACACACTTCTTCCTTTTCGGGTTTTGGGGGATCACTAGTGCCCATGTCCAGCTATCACTGTGCGAGAGGCGGGGGACACCTTGGACAGGTCGCAAGTCCATCACAGGGACACCTAGAGACAATTTAGAGTTACCAATCAGTCTAACATGCATGTTTTTAGTCTGTGAGAGGAAACGGGAGTACCCGGAGAAAACCCACGCATGCACGACGAGAACATGCAAACTCCACCAGAAAGGCCCACCAGCTGGGATTTGAACCGGGGCGACCTGCTCGCTGAGAGGCGGCAGCTCTACTAACTGCGCCACCGTGCCGCCCCAGTTTGACATCAGCGTAACAGAAATGTCAAACCCTTTGTCCCCTACCTTGTCCCTGTCTGCCCATCTATAGGACAGCCCACAGGACGTTGTCCATGTTGGAACGCCACAAATGTTTAGGACAGAAAAGGTCAACAGACCGGGACTCCACATTGGATCTCATTTGTATTAAATCCACTTCCACCAAAGACATCTCTGGTGGAGTCCACTGGTCTGACCATGAAATGGTTTTGGATCTGGTAGTCGTCAACAGGTATGTTCTTCACGTTCAGCTGATGGCTGCAGTTTCGTGTTCTTACTTTATCTTTAATTGGACTGTTTGTCCATTTATCGTCTTTATCAGTGAAATGGACCTTTCACCCCATCACAGTCAGGTAAATACTTCATAGACACGTGTATTCAGGTTGTTGTGTGAGGGAATTCATGCTTTGGGTTTTAAATACTTTGATCATTTACATACGAGTGTATTATGTACCACTGGCTGTAAAAGGTCGGATAAGATCGTCTCAGAAATCTAAACACAAATCAGAGCTTTCTGGTCCAATTTTTGGTTACAGTTTATCACTTGCTACACTTTCACCAAAGCATGTTCGACAGGTGTGAATCTTGTTTATAGCACTCGTTATGTAAAGTTCCATGTGAACCCTGTTTTGAACTGGGACTCCACCATTTGCATAAGTGACAGGTTCAACCTGAACCGTTGCATTGTTCTGTTTTTTGTTTTTGAAATTGGGACATTTGGTGCAGCCCTGCAGGAGACGTGAACAATAGATCACAACTGCAGCTTCTCAAGAGAAACATTAGGACGTGTTTTGACATGAAGAGAGGAAGTCACTGGTCAAAGACGCATGAAAGAAGAATAAAAATATTTTGTAGTAAAAGTGCTTATTTGGTAGTTTACACAAACCTTATTCTAAATTATTTGAATCTGTATAAAGTGTGATTATCGTCCTAAAAAAAAAAAAAATGGAGCGCCGAGTCCTGAGACCGTCATGACACTTGTGTAACGTTGCTCCAGAGGTTGCCATAGCAACACAGAAGCCAGCCAAGAGTAAAGGTGGCCTTTTAGAAAGTCTGGAGTGGTTTGAACTGCCTGAACTGACCTGGTTCTCTGCAATGTTGCACATAATGGTACCTTGTACTTCTGGGATCGGTGCAGAACAAACAGGCTTACGTATATTTAGCTGTTAACGGGAGATCAGGTTCAAAATCGATCTTTTAATCCATAGAAATAAAATGAACGTAGCCCTTCAGTCAGTCAACAGTTCACCACTCGGGTTGTACTTTCTGTTGTCACTTTTTGTGACTTGAAGTATGGTGGTGGTAAATTTCTGTGAAGACGTGAACATTGGAAAGACATCTGCTCTGGTTTCACAGACTCTTGTTTTTGTTTTTTCAAGAAAGTTCTTCACCAATAAGCATTTGCTTAAGAAATTCAGCACCAGCAGTTTGCACTGTTCATACATTATTGTTTGCTCTTTTTTTTTTGTACTCTGCCCAGGAGAGTCCTGGAGAACTGTGGGATTGTGTGAAGAAAGCTGCGTTCATTATTGGATCTGGGATATTGTTCTTGGCTGCATTCGGCAACTCGCTGACATGGTAGGTTCATGAAAAAAGACCTGATGGGTGGCAAAACATGATAACTGTTGAGTCGAAAGGACAAAAAAGGACATAAAATGTACTGGATGTGTGGAATGAGGAATGCAAAATGGAAAAAAATAAAGTACCAGATAGGCTAGCTGGCACCGGGTGATTCAAGACTGTGTAGAAAGTATTCACGAAAGGACAAGACATCAAATGATGCATGATGGGACGGGACATGGCTGAGCATAAACTAGTTATTGGGTTTTACATAAAACTAAACATATTATGGGAATCCAACAAACTAAACATTGATGGGGAAATGGGGAATTCAAGTGATACAACTTTATATATGAAAAACTGTATTATGGTATATAAAACTGTATGTAACTGTAGAATGTATTATAAGACTAAACATTTCAGAGCGTGACTTGATGTGGTATCGGCGTTAGAAGGTGTTGAGTTTGACATTGTGTGATGTATCTGACAGTGTGTGACTGTTTGACATTGTGCAACGGTATTTGTGTATCCGACACTAAACAATGGTTTCTGACCGGTATGGCTGCGTTTGACGTTTTGCGGCGTTGTCTTGACCGTATCTGAAAATGTGGGACGTGTTTGACGAAGTGGTGGTGTGCGAATCAATCCGAATATCAAATTTTATCAATACGGCCATTAGTATCGATGCCTAGGCCTGTCACAATAAACAATAAATCAATTAATCGCATGATAAATGAAAACTATCTACCTCGTTTTCATTAATCGGCTTTAACGTTTCTTTGTGTCTCTCTCTTTCTGAAGACGCTGAATGACAAAAAGCCAAATTCCTGTGCTCTTCACAGAGCCCTCCCTTTCTCTTTAAAATCCGTTTTAACCGTCCAAAAGCAGCTAAGCTGAGAAGCTAAGCTACGAGCTAAGCTAACAGGCTGACCTCAGGGGGGAAAAAACCTCTGAAGACACTGGATGACAAAAGGCTCAACCCCGGTGCTCTTCACTGACCC